TCGCACTGCTTTTCATTTGAACGCTATTTGAAGAGTCCTTTGACACCCTGATGTAATGACAGCTCGCGTGAAAGCCGCACTCCAACAGCGTACAACGCTTCGCACTCGCCCATGAGGCTTCCTCCGTTTTCCTTTCCAGATATCTCCCGTCACACCACAAAAGCAGGAGACAAGGGGGATGGTGCAGGCGGCCACCATATGTCTAGGATACATATAAAGTTAACTTCGCCAGTTTTGCAATGACCACGGGCCGGTTACAGGCACGTTTCGGTCACTTATAGTCATCCGTTCGCACTGTGAGTTTTATGGTATTCAGTGGATGCGTTGGCCAATGTAAGAACGAACATTAAAATCTTTTGCTTGTTCCAGAAGAGTGCAGCACGTCTTCAAAGTTTGCGTATCTGCTATGCAACAGTGCGCGTTACATAGCAGTGAAAATTGACACTTTTGTTTTCTTCAGTATTCTACTTCGATAAATACTTAGTTTTCTTCAGGAAGGCAGAGTTATGATCAATGTACGAGCCTTTGATTCGGATGCAGTCTTGAGTACAGTAAATTAACACAATACTGATATTGCCATTCTGCTACTAAAACACAATCAAAATACAGATGACAAAAAAAGAGACCATGACAATTCAGGCACTTTCACTGTGAAAGACTTAGAGAGTAATGTAGCTCGACTAATCGAAGCCTTCTACAATATTCCTGCCAACTTGCTTATCACCTTATTTTAGTGACATGACCAGGGCTCTTACCTGTCTAAAGGGTAATTGTGCTTTGGGTGATCACCTCAGAAATACCCGTACGCAATAAAAAATAGTAAAATGTGCCATAATAGGAAGGCAATATGATTCAACGACAATATTTAGCCCAGTTTTCTCCCAAAGACGTCTCCAGAAATTAGGAATAATAAATGCGAACCAGCTTTTTGACTAGCCTTTGTAATGCTGTCCCTCCGTGCGTCCATTTGAACGCGCCGCAACGTGATCCCCTCACCCTAGGGGTTGGTGTGGTGCCAAGTTTTTCACGCTGCAGCTGCGCGTTGACGTCATGCTCCCCACCGCAGTGCGCGCTGATGTCTCTTCCTCCCTCACCTGCCGGGCGCTAGCCACTGCGCCCGCAACTGCCGCAGCGTCCACTCACCCGCAACACCTGCCGCTACCACTGCTCGCTACACCGCCGACTCATTGGTTCACACGCAATAAACCTGAAGCCCGCTTAACGTGCGCGTTGAAACATGTCTGTACGTTTCACTTCTCACTCGCTTCATCGTCTCCACCGCTGGCAACACTCGAGCGCACGTCGAGTCGTAACACTCGGCTCGTTTATTTGCGATAGAAAGAACACCGGGAGAAGACATTCCTTCACCCGCTGAAGCGATTAGGCCTGACCCGGCCGTCGCCAGCGTTGCGAAGGTTAGCGTAGCCGATCACGTTCCCAAATGGCGACGCCGCGCCTGTATCACCGATGAGGCGCGAGCCGGGGAAGCCAGACACAAGCGTCGGAAACGCTGCTGCTTCGCATCCTATCACAATACCCTATAGGCCAATGTATTTCTCAAATCGAGGTATTTAGCACTGAAACCTAATGGACAACAATGAAACGAAAGTAATACTGCCATAGATGAAATGATACGTCCTTGCATTAGTTTATACAGGATAATTCAACAGTTGTCAGGCTTTTCTTCGTAAATTAGACCGAAATAAATTCAGGAACAGCAAAAAATGCTTGCCTTATGTACAGCCGCAAGAATCTGGCGGTGATTCTTGCTCGTACGCGAGCCCCGCCGCGGTGGTCTAGTGGCTAAGGTACTCGGCTGCTGACCCGCAGGTCGCGGAATCGAATTCCGGCTGCGGCGGCTGCATTTCCAATGGAGGCGGAAACGCTGTAGGCCCGTGTGTTCAGATTTGGGTGCACGTTAAAGAACCGCAGATGATCAAAATTTCCGGAGCCCTCCACTAAAGTCGTTCTGCTTTCGCAGGAGTTCCTGTAACTATAGTATATGCTTAAGCACGCATATTTTGAGTGTGGTGCGCCTTGGTGGAATAGTGGCTACGGTGCTCGGCTGCCAAGCCGGAAGTTGCGAGTTCGATCCTGAACGCGGCGGTCAACTTTCGAGGCGAAAAGGTAGAGACCCGTGTGCTGTGTTGTCAGTGCCCGTTAAGGAACAACAGATGGCCAAATTTACGGAGCCTTCCACTTGAGCGTCCCTCATAATTATGTCATGTTTCTAGGGCATAAAACCTGATATCATTCTTATATATTTTGAGTGTTTCACCCATTTTTCGAGAATACCAAGCTGTTACATTGAGATGATGTGGCATTGTACACTTCCTTATATTTGCACCGCGTTGTGCGCGTCTGAGCCAAAGTTTGCCTTTTCCTGCGCCTGTGTCATTGGTGGCTTGTCCGGGCTTTCTTACTCCCTCTATACACGAGCCAACAGAAGAAACATAAACGTCACTACGCATATGCAGGCCGTGCCAAGTAGCTGCGTGCGTCCTTTTTGAGACGAAGTGTAGGTAGACAATCTATGTCATTCTAAAATATTAGTGGCCTGGAAACTGCGTGTACGCTTGTGCAAGTACGATGAAAAGTTGCTGAAGACGCGCTGACGAGCATGGGATCGTTAAATCACGCGGATGCACTGCCACTTCAATGTATACTACAAACGGAGGCCTGTATATTTTTATGAAGTAATGTGCTTGTTATATAAATAAACGGACAATATTTCAATACTAAGAAAAAAATCATTCACCACGGGCTCAACGGTCACGTGGTAAGGTACGTCGGAGCGTCATGCGTTTGGTACCAGAAGAACCACAAATCATTTTGCGCGACTTTTAATGAAGAAATAACGATATAAGTCCACCTCAGACGAAAAAAAAAACGGGGACTGTTTTAGTGAGTGTGACAGATAATCTATTTATCGGTGGAGTCATGTCATTTCATATTCTCGGCAGTTGTCAGATGATTGATTTGTGGGGTTTAACGTCCCAACAACATGATGATTATGAGAGACGCCGTAGTGGAGGGCTCCGGAAATTTCAACCACCTGGGGTTCTTTAACGTGCACCCAAATCTGAGCACACGGGCCTACAACATTTCCGCCTCCATCGGAAATGTCGGCAGTTGTCAGTCCCTTTAAGGAGTAACAAGGCTTTTCAACGTGCTAGTTGGGGAAGATGCATAATAGCTTACCGCGCACTCTGACACATGGATGAAGAAGAAACACACGAAGACACGCTGTGTTGCTTCTTCATACCTGTGTAAGAGTGCGCTGAAAGCTATTATGTTAAGGAGTTGTGGTGAGGCGGAAGGGGAGAAACAGTTTCTTTCTTCGCAGTTACTCTCAAAAAGGAGAAATGGCAGTGGCTGGTGAGTTACTCCCCAATAGAAGAATCCGCAATACCTTTACCTCTGACTTCTTTACTCTCAGTGTAGCCCTAGACTACGAGAATATGCTGCGCCCGCAAGTTCAGACGTCCCCCTTCGAAAGGAAAGAAAATCGTTTAGAACACGATCTAAGACAATTCCCTCCTGGAAAGATTGCATATTGTATCGGTTGAATCAAACCCCCTTGTTCCCGGTAAACGCGCCGCATTCATCTCTATAGTTTTTTACTCAATATTATTTTTGGCATATTATCCCCATCACGTGGTCTTTCACTTGCATATGCTGTTAACTCTGTGGATATTAGCGTTGAATTATAGAAAGTTTTTATCATAATTTTCTAACGCAAAAAGTGCAGACATGCCTTCGTTTGTACTTAGCATATCAGTGGCACCACTTCCGCTTGACGTGTCATGCGATGCTGATGATTGACATCACGAACGTTATTGCCTGATGGCATGGTGGCACCTGCCGATGAGTTAAAGAGGTACAAAAAACACCTTGAGGTCTCCGCGATTAGCTCCTGCAGCACGCCATTGCGAGTTGCTGGAGCTAATCGCGGAGGCCAGAAGCACCTGGCTCACGAGGTAATAAAGAGACGTCACGTGACGACGAACGTTCGGAAAAACTCATTCTACCTAATTTTTATGTTCAAAACAAGTTGAATTGGTAAATATGTAGGTGAATAACCACATTCACAGTCATTTCTGTGAACATCAAATCGTGTAATACATAGTTGGCAAGAAGGGCTATTGGCATCAGCTCCACTTCAAGACATTGCAGGAAGTTCTTCAGATCTTTGTCAGTGGCTTCTTAGAGCGGAAAATTCTGCTTGCAAAATATCTGTGTTACTTTGTTGTCAACCACTGCAGGTTAAACTAGAACCGAGGGGGAGCTATTCGTTCAGCCATAAAAAAACTAGTTGCAAAAAAGTCGGTTGTATTATTTTGGAGGGCACCAAAGCGTCATGCAATACTCGCGAGACTTCTCGGGGAGAGGACGGTACGACAACTTTCGGTGAAGAGACGGAATTTTATGCTAAGATTATCCGAACGGATTCGTTGTGGCTTCATCGCTATTGGGATTTCCAAGGTTGTGTATAAAGGCGAGAGTAACACAGGCAGCGGTGGCGGTTGATTGATTGATTGATTGATCATCAATCAACCACGGTGGCGCACAGATCTACTATTGTATAGGAGAAGGAACACTGGGGGATGTGGAGAGACGAGCCGACTAAATCATCGAAGCGAGGAGAGAAATGAACAAACGCCGCGTTTTGATTTTTTAATGCATGTAACTCAGCAAGCGCTTATTGTGAATGTTTGCACAACAACAACGCTACAAATAAATTTCGATCTCTGAGTGGCTTAGGGGCCCTTTGAACCTGCGTCTGGTCACGTAATACCGCAGCGGCGAGGCCCCTAGCGAGCGCAGCTTCAACGCATATTCACAGCGGATAGCGTGTCGTGACGCCACACCTGCCACACTTGCGCTGCGGCAATTCGCACTTCGGCAGCTCAAGGTCATTGCGACGCGGGGAACGCCATAATAAAGTTTTCTGTGTAAAATCGCAGGCTGAAAGAGGTAGTGCTTTACAAACTGTTTACCTTTCTGTTGTACTCGTGGACGAAGTTTATATTTTTCTTGAACTCCTTGGAAGCCTGGGTCAAGCTGTAAAGTGTGTCGGACCAGTGAAGAAGGTTCATCATCCTCGCTATTACGCTCGCACCAATCCTGTTAAATGGAAAGAGAGAACAAGCTGGTTTTTATCATTGTCACCGAAGGTGGCTTTACTAATGTACGTATTTGTTCATACTCATCGTTTATTTCGAGTAGTCGCATCCTTTGAACCTCAGCTTCATCGATTTGCACGCCTAGGGCAGTCTCTGTATGCAAGATAAACAAAACAAAGGAAAAAAAACTTCTTTAAATTGAGCTCGTCATGTAACATTCCTACATTTAAGTGCGTAGCCCTTCAAGGGCCCGGCTCCACGTCCATCCACAAATCTCATGTGGCGTGGTGTGTCTCACAATCAATTGCGCAAAACGGGCCTAAAACACTGCTAGAAATGATCAAAACCAGATCAAATTAAATGAAAAAGGTTTAAAATAACCTAAATAACAGTGATAATCAGCAACTATTCCTAAATATTTGTCTTACCCGGAAGCAATACCTGGTTTGCTACCCGGCACTGTGGAGAGCGTTAGGGTCTTAGAGGAGACAGATGAAATCGACAAAAATGCATCGGACCCATGCGGCTGACTCCTGCGCAGCGGAAAGGAGGGTGCCAACGCCTCGCAGAGCCCGCAATTGATCATCATCATCATCATTATCATCATCATCATCATCATCATCATCATCAGCAGCAGCAGCCTGACCACGTTCACTGCAGGACAAAGGCCTCTCCCACGTTCCGCCAGTTAACTCGGTCCTGTGCTTTCTGCTGCCAATATATACCCGCAAACTTCTTAATCTCATCTGCCAACCTAACCTTCTGTCTCCCCCTAACCCGCTTGACTTCTCTGGGAATCCAGTTAGTTACCCTTAATGACCAGCGATTATCCTGTCTACGCGCTACATGCCCAGCTCATGTCCGTTTCTTCTTCTTGATTTCAACTATATATGATATCCTCAAACCCCGTTTGTTCCCTAATACACTCTGCTCTCTTCTTGTCTCTTAAGGTTATACTTACCATTTTTATTTCCATTGCTCGCTGCGTCGTCCTCAATTGAAGCTGACGCCTCTTTGTAAGTCTCCAGGTTTCTGCTCCGTAGCTAAGTACTAACAAGATACAGCTGTTATATACCTTCCTCTTGAGAGATAGTGGCAAACTACCTGTCATAATTTGACAGTGCTTGCCAAATGTGCTCCACCCCATTCTTATTCTTCTAGTTACTTCAATCTCGTGGTTCTGCTCCGCGGTTATTACCTGCCCTAAGTAGATATAGTCTTTTACAACTTGAAGTGCACTATTATCTATCTCGAAGCGCTGCTCTGTTCCGAGGTTGCTGTACATTACTTTCGTTTTCTGTAGATTAATTTTAAGACCCACCTTTCTGCTCTCCTTGTCTAACTCCGTAATCATCAGTTGCAATTCGTCCTCTGAGTTACTCAGCAATAGAATGTCATCGACGAAGCGCAGGTTACTAAGGTACTCTCCATTAATTCGTATTCCTAACTGTTCCCGTTCTAGGCCTCTGAAAACCTCCTGTAAACACGCGGTAAATAGCATTGGGGATACTGTGTCCCCCTGCCTTACACCCTTCTTGATTGGTATTCTGTTGCTTTCTTTATGAAGCACTATGGTAGCGGTTGATTCCCTGTAGGTTTCTTTCAGGATGTTTATATATGGTTAATCGACGCCCTGATTCCGCAGTGTCTGCATGACTGCTGATAATTCGACTGAATGAAACGCCTTCTAGTAATCAATGAAGGCTATGTATAGTGGTTGGCTCTATTCTGAGCATTTCTCTATTACCTGATTGATAGTATGAACGTGGTCGATTGTTGAGTAGACTGTTCAAAATCCTGCTTGTTCCTTTGGTTGATTGAATTCTAATGTTTTTTTGACTCTGCTAGCAATTACCTTTGTAAACAGCTTGGGTACTACGGAGAGCAAGCTGATCGGCCTGTAATTCTTCAAGCCCTTGTCATCTGCTTTTTAATGTATTAAGATGATGTTTGCATTCTCCCAAGGCTCTGGTACTCTTCCCGTCAGGAGACACCTCGTAAACAGGGGGGGGGGGGGGGGGGTTGGTTTTTTAACACAATCGGTCCTCCATCTTTCAGCAGATCTGATGTTACCTGATCCTCACCAGCAGCTTTGTTTCTTTGCATGCTCTCCAAGGCTATTCTGAGTTATTATATCATTACTGGTGGGGTGTCATCTTGATTACTGTTAGTTCTTATAGTATAAAGGTCGTGGTTGTCTCGGCTACTGTACAGATCTCTGTAAAACTCGTCCGCTATTTAAACTATCCTACCCATAGTGGTAGTTATTTTGCCTTCTTTGTCCCTTAGTGCTTACATCCAATTTTCACCTATCCCAAGTTTACTCTTCACTGCTTTGACGCTTCCTCCGTTTTTCAGAGCGTGTTCAATTCTCTCCATGTTATACCTTCTTACATCGGATACCTTACACTTATTAAGCAACTTGGAAAACTTTGCTAGTTCTATTTTGTCGGTTATACTTGAGACTTTCATGCTTTGACCCTTCTTAATTAGATTTTTTGTTTCCTGGGAAAGCTTGCCAGTGCCCTGTCTAACTACCGTGCCTCCAACTTCCACTCCACACTCCGCAATGACGCTCGTCAGATGATCATTCATTGTATCTACGCTGAGGTTGGTTTCCTCAATAAGAGCCGAGTACCTGTTCTGAAGCGAGACTCTGAATTCCTGCTCCTTCCATAGAGTTTCCTAAATACACTAGAGTGAACTCTGGCGCTAGTGGCTATGGGAGCTGCAACGCACGGCGCTTCAGAGAGCATGAGAATCATGGGTAGTTCATGGATTTGTCTAAACTTTGTACTTTTGGCTCCGTTTGGCTTCGCGTAGCTTGAAGCTGTTTGGCCACAAAACAATAAGCAAATGTTCAGCAGTAGCACTTCACCACCATTGCACCTTTAGGCTTACCAATTCAAATTGTGCCACGAAGTTTACAATGGTGAGTTATATTAATGAAAACAAATTCACAGCCGTAAACAAATCCACAAGTACGTTTGAAGACCGCAGGCACAAAGGCTAGGCGAATTCATCAACTGCCCATCATTCCCATGGTCACTGAACAATCGCAACGCCAGTCTCTTCTAGTTAATTTTGGGAACCTCTGTGGCCCCTCTCACCCTCACTTTGCCAGTGTTTGGTTACGTCTGAAGGAGAAAACAACCTGACGCAGCCTGATACGTGCTGTCTGCAGCACGTATCTCATACGCCGTAACAAGCGGCAAGTCGACAAAGAGCATCGAAAAGTAGTGAGTATATGCACAGCAAGTTAGCAGATCTCCCTAATCAGATTCTACACTCGAGCGCGCTCTGCGTCTCTTTCTCTCTGTGTGTGTGTGCGTGCGTGTGTGCGTGCGTGTGTGTGTATGTGTGTGTGTGTGTGCGTGTGTGTGAGTGTGTGTGTGTGACGTTGTTTAATAATTGACGTTGTTTTTACGCACCAAACCCATGGTGCACGTGATAAGGAGGCAAGTTTGTAGTGTAGGGCCCTTGAAACTTTACTGACTGGGGTTCTAGCATCTGAATCTAAGCAAACTGGCATATTACATTTTACCTTCATCGAAATTAGGCCACCCCGGCCGGCATAGGAAACGCTACCTTCGAACAACACTATTATTGATGAGTGCGGTACATGGGCCAGGTTCAAAAAGCCCCTACATTCGTAAGTATTGTGTGCTACCAATTAACTGCACTCAATATGCTCAGCGTCATAACCCGTTCTTAAAAAGAATGTTTCGGCATAACGACTTTGTTTTTTTAAATGCAAAGCATTCCTTAGCGATCTTCGGTGACTTTGAGCGTATCTATCTATCTATCTATCTATCTATCTATCTATCTATCTATCTATCTATCTATCTATCTATCTATCTATCTATCTATCTATCTATCTATCTATCTATCTATCTATCTATCTATCTATCTATCTATCTATCTATCTATCTATCTATCTATCTATCTATCTATCTATCTATCTATCTATCTATCTATCTATCTATCTATCTATCTATCTATCTATCTATTCCTTCTAGCTCTCCTGGCCGTTTCGATGACAGGATCTATACCAAAATTGGTATGGCTAGTCATAACGTGAAAATCATGACACGTATGTCATAAATGTCATGATCTACATGTCATGGTCTTGCTCTTGCGGTGATTTCGTTTACACGACCCATTGAAAACCTGGTATGATATGTCATGACTGCATGGTGAACACAAGTGACAGGCTCTAACGCGGAAATCATGACACGCATGTCATGTAAATCGTGACTACATGGCACGCTCATGATGCGGTCGCAGTCATTTCGCTAGCTTCACACATACCAAATTTGGTATTACGTGACATTAAATAATGACAAAGGTATATAATTGGTACAAACACGATGATCACGACACGCGTGTCATGTGAGAATATGACAACATTTGCGCTCGCGGCCGTTAGGTAGCTTCACATATACCAAATTTGGTGTTACGTGACGTGAATGAACGATGAACGCAAATGCCAGGTGCAAACACAATAATCATCACATGGAAGTCATGTACAGCATAAAGTACACGCCTACCAATGCTAGCTGGTATTGGACACGTTACCGGTGCCATCGTTACGCGACTATAAAGAGCATACTTTCATCTTATTTATATGCTTGAGTACGCATAAAATTTCTATTTGTGTTCACTGTGTACTACTTCTATGCGCCTCCTAACGTTGTGCTGATTTCAAAGTGACATATAGACTTTCCTCATTCGTGCTTTGCTTATCATCGATTCCCACTAAGCGTGGGATGTGCCAAAATTTTTTGGCAATACAGTAGTTCCTCAATAGAAGAAAGTATTGAGGCAATATGTTAATACAGACCAATAACTATAAATCACAATTCTTTCCGTTCGTTAGTCTCAGTGTACAATTAGCTAGTTGTCATTCCTGATGTCTGTCATCCCAATCGGACAAACATAGGCCCTTCCGAGCAAGTCTCGCATTTTTTGTCGAACACGTTTAGTAATTTCGTTATGCTCGTAGTAAATGCGACGGAAAGTTAACGCTGTGCTGTTTCGTTATGCACTATTTCTTATTTTCCTTAGCTTTTCAGTATTAGACATTACATTGAAATATGTGATTCTTTCAATAGAAACACAATTCGACGCTTAGCCCGGAATCTTCTTTCTGT